ATGAATTGATTTTTGGAGAATGAGGAAGGGAGAGATAGAATCATCAATAACTACATCCTGCACGCCCCTCACTGGGAATTGAGCCTGAAACCCAGGCATATGCCCTGACTGGGAATCGATCCTGTGACCTCTTGGCTCCTGGTTCGATGCTCAACCAACTGTGCCACACCGGCCCGGCTCTCCCTTTTTACAATCGTACAGGGTTCCATTAGGTGGATGTTCATAATTTATTTCACAGTCTCCTGTTACGGGTATTCTAACTTTTCCCCCAATTTTATGACCAGGTGCTCCGTGTGACGTTCACACGCGTGCACACACCCCAGGGCACATTCCCGGAGGTGGCAGTGCATGTGTGACTTGGCTGGCTTTGGGCCAGTCGCCTCGCGTGGGTGTGGCTCCAGGTTAGAGCCCTGTCAGCAGCGCAGGGGGGAGGTCGGTTCTCACGGGCCCCACCAGCACTGCCTGTGGGTGGCCCGGGTCTTGGCTTGTGGCCAGCCGGCCGGATGGACAGTGGCACCGGGCTTCCTTCTGCAGCGTTCCCGGGCTCGTCTCCAGTCCGCCCTGAAATGCCCGGGTCCCTTCACTCTTAGTGGGTGAAGGTGGCAGCCACCCCTGGAAATGAAACCTCTTGAGGGACCCCTTGCTCACGGTGACTGTTACACTCGGGGACACGCTCACAGGGAGCTGTTTGAACCCCCAGCCTCGCTTCCCCGGACAGAACGGGCATTTGCAAATGGCCTTCAGGGGTGAGGATCAGCTGTCTCCCCCCACACCCCCACCCTCGATTTTTTTTTTTTTAATCCTCAATGTTTTCCATTGATTCTAGAAAGAGAGGGATGGAGAGGGAGAGAGAGAGAAACATGGATGTGAGAGAAACAACCCGTTGCTATGACCGAACCGGCAACCTGGGCATGTGCTCCAACCGGGAATTGAACCCAAGACTCTGGCCACTGAGCAGCACCAGGCAGGGCTCAGCTGTCCTTTTGGTCTTGACATTTCCCTTCTCCTGGCTTTGTGCATCTGGGTTCCTCAAAAAGGGTTCTGCAGATATGCAGACCCGCCCCAGGGGAAGAGAGGGAATCCTTGGGCGCCACCAAGTGGCCACCTGGGGTGCGACAAATATTGACTGGGTACAAAAGACACCCCGCTAGCCCCCAAGACTGTTTTCTGAATTCTGGGCCCATCTTTAGAGGAAGGCACCATCAGAAAGCACTGGAAGGGGGCGTGGCCTAGGAGAGGGTGGCTTCTGCGTTCGCTATTTAAAATATATATTTTTTAGATTTTTCAATTATAGTCGCCATACAATATGCATTTCAGGTGCACAATAGTGACTAGACATTTCTATATCACTGTTTAAAGTGCAAGCTGTTTGCCCTTGCCGGTTTGGCTCAGCAGATAGAACATCGGCCTGTGGACCAGAGGGGCCTGGGTTCGATTCCCATCAAGGGCATGTACCTCGGTTGCAGGCTCCGCCCGGCCCAGGCCCTGGCCAGGGCTCCTGCAGGAGGCAACCAATCTGTGTGTTTCTCTCACATCGATATTTCTCTCTGTCTCTCCCTCTCTCTTCCACTCTCTCTAAAAACCACACACACAAAAAAAGGCGCGAGCTGTTTTACCACTGCCGTGTGCTTTGAGTGAGCACGTGTTTTCTCGGGGTGCCAGCAGAAGGGGTGCCAGACCTACGAGTAAGCACCCACGTGGGCCCTGAGGCAGCTTCACGCCTCCCAGAGCTCAGAGTGTCCGTGTTTTGACAGTTGCTCCTAGTCCTGAGTGACTCCAGGAGCAAATGAGAATCGATAGAAACGCTGCCTGATTTTGAGAAGCAAGAGGGTGAGCTCAGGTTCCGGCCGGCCACAGCCGGGCAGTCTCACCGTGTCCAGGCGGGACAATACCGCTCACCAGACACCATCTTCTCTGGCATGGCCGGTGGGGCCCTTCGCATACCTATGAAACGGGGGTTTCCAAAGGAGGCGTTTTTAAGGTCCATTATGGGTTTTGGCAGGTGGGTGGTGACGACTCTTCTTTTTTCAAAATATATTTTTATTGCCCTAACCGGTTTGGCTCAGCAGATAGAGCGTCTGCCTGCGGACTCAAGGGTCCCAGGTTCGATTCCGGTCAAGGGCATGTACCTTGGTTGCGGGCACGTCCCCAGTGGGGAGTGTGCGGGAGGCGGCTGATCGGTGTTTCTCTCTCATCGATGTTTCTAACTCTCTATCCCTCTCCCTTCCTCTCTGTAAAAAATCAATAAAATATATATTTAAAAAATATATATATATATAAAATTGTCAAGCCCAATGTTATGGAGCTTTCTCCCAATGCTTTCTTCTAAAAGATATAGTTTCAGGTATTATGTTTAAGTCATTAATATATATTTTTTTATTGATTTCAGAGAGAGGAGGGAGAGGGAGAGAGAGAGAGAGGGAAACATCAATGATGAGAAACATTGATCAGCCCGTGACCTGGGCGTGGGCCCTGCCTGGGAACGCCATTTGTTTCCTATATCTGTCTTTTCTGTTCCTCCGTTCCTCTACTCTGTGCCACTTGCATTCCCTTGCTGTTCCTTTCCCTGTATGTTTCTTTATTTATTCTTTAACTCTTCCTTCCTTCCCTTCCTTCCCTTCCTTCCTCCCTCCCTCCCTCCCCCTTCCCACCCCGACCGGCGTCTGGGCACCGCCGCCCCAGCCTCGGGGCGTCTCCTCACGTGTGCGTGCTGGTCATCTCGCTGTGGACACCCGAGGAGGACCCGCTGCGACCTCTGAGTCATCTTTGTGCTTCTCCTTCCTTAGGCAGTTTAGTTGCCCCACAGTGTATCCTTCTACCATCAGCAACAGGCCAATCACCGGGCAGACTTCATATTTTAATTTTTAAAAAAAATATATTTTATTGATTTTTTACAGAGAGGAAGGGAGAGGGATAGAGAGCCAGAAACATCGATGAGAGAGAAACATC